TGGCGCACTGAGGAACGCACGGACTCTCCGCGCATCTGTCGAGCTCCCAATGGCAAGCCAAGCAACCCACGGGAAATACATAAATGGTGAGGTTTGACACGTCTTTGCTAAGGGCAGTTATTTGGACGGCGGCGTCGCAGAGATGGTGCGCGCAGTTTGTGGCAGTCTGCGGAGAGAAGGAAACCTCGCAGGGCTTCTTCTGCTCGCGGTCGCGGGGTTCGGGCTCTGGATGCATGAAGTCACGGCTTTGCCTGCCTGGAGATCTGAGGTATGCCATTAGGTTTTCATTTCGGCTGCTCTCAGAAAGCGCTCTTTTCCCTTGCAGAACTCCAGACGCGCGTCAAAGCGGCTCAATGGTGTCACGCGTGATGTGATAATCACTGATCCGCTCGAGTTATAAAACACCTAAAAGTCGTGAAGGGTCGTTCAACACGGGACGCGTCCTGGCGTTCACTAAAGCGCGACGCGGGGAACTGCTTTTAACTTGACGCGTCGTTCTTAAAACGCGATGCTCGTGGCGAGACGCGACGCGGTGATGAACGACGTCTGTCTGGCCGGCGCGTCCGATTCGGCACACAAACCTCAAATACACGACAGAGCAGACGCGGGCCAAGATCGACCGCTGGCTGATATCAGAGCCAGAGTTTGCAGGAAGGACGCTTCATCTGCAGTTCATTCGTACTGTACGTGTTTGCGTTCTGTGCTGCGGGTTCTTTGTGCTTTTCTCTTCTACTTTACATTATGAAACTTTCGAGGACGCACCAATTGGCGCCTCCAAAAATGCATTTTTTTGTGTTTTGTGGCTTTTAGTTTTCTTCACTTTGAATCTATGCAAGTGTCCCCTAAGAAAAACACTTAACAATATTTCAAAATATAGGCTGCTGTTGTTGCTCTCTCTTCTCTTCCAAGAAACAGAACAACTCCTCTTCCACTCACAGGCATATCTAAAGTTTTGTCCAATAAAACTCTCCCTAGATTGAGTATATTCACTCCCCCTAATGCCACCTGCAAGGAGCATGTCTGTAATGCCTGGAGAGAGCTTTCCTTTAGCATCCCCATTCATCACAGTGGCATGGAGCTTGGAGGAGGCACATGTCGTCCTGGAAGACTTTTGAGCCATTCACCTGAGCCGTAAACACATTTCACTAGTCGGCATGAAATAAAAACTAAACTAAATGCATGTTATAGATATCATTGTTGCATTTTTAAAATGTTTTTTACTAAATGTTTAATCAAAATGTCATAACTGGATGTTCTACTGACGACCGCAGCTCTCTGGTGACGTATGCAGGGATTCTGCAGTCATTTAGTGCACTTAATAGTTCACCCAAAACAGAAAAATTACTCAGGCAGGCCATACGAGATGTAGGTGAGTTTGTTTCTTCGTCAAATTAGATTTGGAGAAATTTAGCATCACATGCTCACCAATGGATCCTCTGCAGTGAATGGATGCCGTCAGAAAGAGAGTCATTTAACGTCTTGTGAAGCGAAATGCTGTGTGTTTGTAAGAAACATGTTTTACTTCAGACTGTTGCTTCTGGCTAAAATAGGAGTTCTCTATTCATAATAACTCTTCCTCTAGTGAAAAACTAGTCTGAATCAGGAGAGAAATCTGCACAGATCAAGCAGTGTTTAAACAGCTCTAAACAAATATGTGGCTGGATTTTAATGCGAGAGACAACAGCAGATGCACTTTTTCACTGAAGGAAGTGTTATTATGGATTATGGACTCGTATTTTAGCTACAAACGTCTTGATGGATTTGTCTCAGCTTTTGTCTTCTCCAGATGTTAACTGATGGACTGGAGTGGTCACTGTCTCAGTAAATCTACAAATATATCCAGTCCACATCTCAGACCTTTCTATTTCACAGAAGACTTTTCTGGATCTAGCAGTGTTACATAATTTACAGTCCGCAGTGGCAGCTCATGACCCAGCGTTAAATCTGCTCGTGAGCAACAGTTAAGAAAGCTGTGGAAGAATAAATAAGAGAAGCTGAAGCTCTTCCGAACTGTATGAACAATACGAACCGCAGCTTTGGAAAGCGATCGTTTGGTCACCACAAAGGTAGCTGGGAAGATGCTAGTTTGTCTTTGTCATGGAAGGAGCGTGACCATCGATCAGGCTCTGAATTATGGCTTTGGTTTAGGAAAGAGGCTTTAACAAGGCAGAACTAATTACAGGATTAAATGATGCTTTGTAAGTTGAGCTTGCCTGCAGGCACGTCACTCTCTTGTGCATTACGTTATGTATTTGTAAGAACAGATCATTTGATTGTTTGTGCTGAGGTCAGCCATTGACGGATACGGTGCTGTGTCCCGACACCTCCATTAAAAGCACCTTGAACCGTGATTCTTGTGAGCGGTTGAATGCTGGAAGGAGCTGGAGACTGAATGTAGGTCACAGTGCTTGTCATGTCTTGCTATGCAGTGTGCTGCTACAAAGAACAGAGTTATCATTCTTCGAGAGTACCAAAAATATGAAGAGGAAAGCAGCCAAACCCCAAGACACTTGGATCAACCTTCTACCTACAGACCATTCCTTCCAGAAGAGAGATTTATCCTTTTTCTGTTCCTGAATCTAACAGCATGGCATGGATGTGATTAACAAAGTTGTGTTTGTATAAATCCTGATATCCTGAATGTGCACCAGGCATTCTAAGAAAATAGAATGTGTACGGTACGGTAATTCAGTGTACGGTAAATTACCTTGAAAGGTCTCATGGTAATCTTGAGTACCTCCAGAGCAGTACTTGACCTTCATATCTCTGAAGAGTGTTTAGTTTGATCAGATTTATAAAAGACAGACAGCTTTACGCTCCTCTCTGAAAAGAGGCGTGTCGTGGGCGGAGCTAAAGCTTTCACGTAGCGATCGTCTGCAAGCTGTGACAACGACGTCAATAAAACCGGAACAAAAACTTTATTGACTTTAATGTTATTTGTTTATCAAACATTCGTCACTGAAACGCCGGGAACAAACAAACACGCTTGTGTAACTCTGTTGCTGCTCCGGAGAAACAAACTGCATCCACTGTGTTCACTAACGCTGGACTCTTTGGGAAGCTGAACAAGGTTCTCTTTCCCTCGCAACCAAAAACACTCTTCTTTGGAGACATCGTTGATTTCGTGGTCTAAAAACAAAATGACAAATCGTTCTCGAGCAAGTCCTGTGCAGCGCTGCAGACGAGTTGAAGAGGCCATACAAGGAATTCAGTAACTCAGATATTTTGTTGTAAATGTAAAGTAATGCATTACTTTACTAGTTACTTGAAAAAAGTAATCTGATTATGTAACTTGCGTTTCCCTCAACACTGATCATCAGGCACTATATATATGAAAAATGTTGGTCAGTAATGTTGGTCAGTAGTCAAACATTTCTGTGGATTTCATCGCAGACCAAAACAACAAGGCTCTCTTTGCCACCACAGACCTCACCATTATTCTCCACAAACCATTCGGTTTCTATCCCAAGTGTAGTAGACGTTTTGTAAGATGCTAAATGTAAATCTTTGCCTTACTTCAAGGTGTTATCGCCAGTCAAACAGAGAAAGGCTAAATGAGAAAATTAGCAGATTGTTGCAACCATACAGATTGCAGCTGGACTGAGGGTTTTTCAGTGGATGAAATACCAGCAGAGCTCTGTGGCTTATCCAGTGGGTGCTTGGGCACTAAGCCTCCACGTTCTTTTGTCTCGGAAACCCACTGAAGTGACTGGAGTGGATGCAGTGAATGTGCCAGCTGCAGAAAGCTGCATGAAATTCTTGTTGACATTGACATTGGCAACCAACACCAAACCTCAGACGTGGGCAAATAATGTGGCTCCAAATCATGTCCCACTAAAAAAGCGTATTTTGTATATATTTAGTGATGCCTTTAAAATGGCATTGATCAAATTTCTTATTGCTCTTGATGACTCTGTTCATCATCTGCTCTCTAAGAGCAGGGCACACAGTTTATGAAGACTCATAGGTGTTATTAGAGTACTACCTAGCAGTAATGCCCATGTATTTTCGATAACTCGTCCATGTATTAGCTTCACAAGTTTCTTGAAATGCACTCATGTCCCGTTACGTCCAACCCTTTGTGTTTCTGCTTGGTTCATGGGGATCTGGGGATCTCTGAATAAATCTTTAGATAGTCCTGTGACCGTCTGCTTTGGCATATAGTTGCATTAACTCAAGAAACCTGCAAAGAGACCCTACTCAAGTCTCAAAACTCCTTTACATCACGAGTTTGAGGGTAGCTGAACACATATTGTAGGATTAAACTAGGCGCCAAGCTGATCGCCCCAAAACATTGTCATTTGGGAGCTCCACTCCGTCAACTTATCTTGGACCTGAAATACGTTTTTCCATTTTCATTTATTTTCCATTCAAAAAGAATGGAAGTCCTGCTTGCCAAGAGTGCAGCTTAAAAAAAACCGTGTCTGCTTGTAAATGCATGTGATATAAAGACTGGTCTAAGAGCGAATCAGTTCAGGAATGTCCCCTCTGCCCCATCTGACTAAAATAGTCTCCATCTCCTCTAGTTATAACTATTTTGACTTTACTGCTCCGATCAGCGCTTGCAAGTGGCGTCTGCTCGCTTTTTACCTTTTGAAACACTCAGACTCTGGCGCTCTATCAACACATGACTCTTTCCAGAAGACTGAGATCAAATTCAGCAAAGGACATTACAGCCTGTATAGAAAATCCTCCATGTTAGTCCATGCAGTCATCCAGTTTGAAGACTGTAGGCTCTGTGTGAAGCAAAAAGGACTGAACACTGTCGATTTCTAACCCAGAGACTCCTTGGCTCTCTGCTGTGTTTGTGTATGTGTCTGTGAATGTCTGCTTAATGTGTCTGTTTCAGACACTAGTTTAAGGTCAGACTACCAGCGAAGTGAAAAAATTTGGACAGCTTTATGAAACCCAGAGAGCGCTCTCAACATCAACGTCTGAGTTCAAATTCAGGCCAAATACCTTCTGGAATTACAATATAAAAATCAGGCGATTTTTTTTTCATGGCTAGTAAAGGACATTTTAATTTTGTTCTTTTTTTTTTTCCCCATAGACTTGCATCTTCCTGCCAATTCATTACAGTGCACATTCTTATGAAATTAAAACTGGATTTTTGTGGCTATTAGCTTTGAGACCTCCATTAAAAATGACTTGCCTTTTAGTGGACAAATACTATAGACTCACTTTCTGCTAAACGGACCAAAAAGCTTGATCTTGCATGCAGATGAATTACGTCAACAGAGGAAACAATGTCATGGGGTCTTTAAAGTTATATTAATGGCTGTTTGTCGGCGATGGTTTTCTAGGACGATCACTCATATAGTTGAGTACATCAGAAAGTTGATAGCATCTGTGTTTGCTGTGTGAATGTGTGGGCTGTGGTTGCACACTCTTGACCAAAAATGTAGTTCTTCTACTCCGTAATACAGCAGAGATCAAATTCTTTCACAAGAAAAATCACAGATAATAAACTCCCAAAATAAATAGTTAGGTGCCACTGTAGAGCAAATCTGAATCTCGAAGTTTATTTACACATCAGATAATACTTTTTTGTGCATTATAAGGTGTTTCAGTTTTGACGTTTTAAATTTAAAATGTTGAATACTTACCACTTATACAAAATACATTAGTGTATTAATGTGCTGCTGTATGTATGAATGTAAATATATTGCAGTGCTTTGCATGCACTGTTCTGTAAAGAGCATAAAATAACAGTCGAGTAGTCTGGCTGAAAGATGAGAAGAGAAGCCCAACAAGTCTGACTTAATAACTGAACTGAACTTTCCTCTCTGTCTGCGCTCTTTTCACTCCTGACTAATCAATACAAGATGTGTTCCTGGCTCAACAAGCCATTTATTAGAGCAAATCACACTTTAAAGCACCTCACAAGTGGACTTATCGCTCTTGTAGGAGCAAGCGTGGCACAGACCTTCATGGAAAATCCTGCTCACAGATCAATCTAATCTAATCTGAGATTTTTTTGTCCAAGGAAGAAGCTCTCATGTCTGGTGTTTTAATCATTGGAATTCATAAAGACGCCCGCTCCCATGTGCTTCACCTTTCCCGAAACAAACGCTACACGCTCACTCCAGAGAAACTGAAGTGGGACAAATTCAAGCTGACTTACAAGTAAGAATCCTTTTATATTTTTGTGCATTTGTACGATATCACGGCCCTCTGTTTGAAAGTCATGCACAGCTTCTGCTTTGTTGAAATTTCATAACCTATTTACATTTTTTTCCATGTTTGCACGTGTCAGGAAGCTCTAGGATTTCAAATGAGTGTATCCAATGGACAATGAGTACAGAATTTGTTTCCCTCTGGTCATACAGTATATTTATGTCATTCATTTGTCATTGGCGTCTTACATATCCTGGTCTGTCAAACTTTATATGGTATAAAACTTTGTTTTATACTTGATAGTGGCTGGGTAAGTCATACAAGTTTAGAACAACATGAGCGGATGATGATAATTTATCCTCAGGGAATAAATGCAATTTTTTGTTTAAGTCAAGTCAAGTCACCTTTATTTGTACAGCGCTTTATACAATACTGATTGTGTCAAAGCAGCTTTACAGTGTAAAACAGGTAAATAGTTTGTCAATAATGCAAGAAGACAATAACAAAGAGTCATTTTCCAGCTAAAGTCAGTTCATTGATGATCTCGTCCAATAGTGTCTGTGCAATCAGTGAAGCGTCCCCAACTAAACAAGCCAAAGGCGACAGCGGCAAGGAAACAAAACCCCATCGGTGACCGAAATGGAGAAAAAACCTTTGGAGAAACCAGGCTCACTTGTTTACTTGTCCATATTTTAATGGGTGCTTTGTGTATTCGTGCAGACTGCTGTCATTTCCAAGGAATCTTTTGAATGCCAGTGACACAAGGAGAGGCATAGCCAAGGCCTTCTCTATGTGGAGCGATGTCTCGCCCTTCAGTTTTCGTGAGGTCCCATCTGATCAAGAGGCCGACATCAAAATCGGTACATCAAATACATTTGTTTGTTTGTTGCAGTACAGAGGAGTTTAAAGTCACAAAGTAACACAGAATGAGGCAAGTTTGTGGTTTTGTGTTTCTGGGAAAAAGTTCTTTTCAAATCCGATCTGGGGTGCGTTTCCCAAAAGCATAATTAGCCAACTCTGGTCACAAGTTACATTGTTACAATGTGCGACAATGTTCCTGAGCTTTCGGGAGATGGTCCTGACTAGCTAGTTAGTTTCTGCAATGATGTGTCTTATGGTTAGTCATTGTTACATTTTTGTTTTCGTCAGGCTTCTACTCTGTAAACCACACCGACTGTCTGCAGTCCTACCTGCACCACTGTTTCGACGGCATCACCGGAGAGCTGGCCCACGCCTTCTTCCCTCAGACCGGAGAGATCCACTTTGATGATGACGAGTACTGGATTCTGGGAAACATGCGCTTCAGCTGGAATAAAGGCACGTGTTGCTCTTTCCCCCATTGAGTGAGAATTGAGAAAATTGGAATCTGATTGTTTACTTGCTGTAGAAGGGGTCCAGAAATGGTCGCTTCCTGGCTGTGACAGTTTTAAGAAATGTTCATTATCCCAAAAGAAATATACAGACACCGTTGAACTGACCAGACAGATCATATCAAACCCCTACTGAACCTGCATGTGCCTTGTTTACAATCTAAACTAATATGAAATGAGAATTTTATTTTTTATATTATTACATCATATTTTGAAAATGTCTATTAAAACTTTAACAAGTACAATCACACTGCAACATTCAAATCCAAAAAGAGCAGTTGTTTGAAACAACTTCACAAACAACCACACAGATATTTCTGTCACAAAATTAAAATGATCACAGAAGCATATAACAATATAAACAGGGTGCGAACTACAGGTGAGCTAGGGGGAGCTCGGCTCCCCTTAATAAGACATGGGCTCCCCTGAAAACGGGATTTGTGAAATTTTGGGGGGTCTCAAAAAATATAAACACTGATGTCTACAGTAGCGATAAATCAGCTTTTGAATGTAATGGTGTTAAATAAAGATTGCATTGATTACATTGTTACGCCAGTAGGTGGCAACAAGTGACTGCTAAAAATGCATTTGTCATTGAATCATTCATTCAAGAAATTTATTCAAAAATGCTGATTCATCCAGTACTGAAACAAGTGAGGTGAATCATTCAGTCAAACAATATTTCTTAAAATTAATTTTTTTAAAGACTGCAGCAAATAACATTTGATCAAAACCTATAGTAAACTGCTTGTTATTTTGTTTAGCTGTCTATTCAGAATCGTTCTGTTTATACAGAATCCTGCAGATTTGAAGAAGTAGATTTGACCTGACTGTGGTCTGTCTGTGATTGTTGTTGTATTCAGGAGTGTGGCTGACAGATCTAGTTCACGTGGCTGCTCATGAGATCGGTCATGTACTGGGCTTGATGCATTCCCAGAATCGCAAGGCTTTAATGCACCTCAACGCCACACTGACAGGCCGCAAACTCATCACTCAAGATGAGGTTTGGGGCTTACATCGACTCTATGGTATTTTACTCATAAGCACGAATAAACATCAAAATAACTATACAAACTGGATTACTTTTGTCTTCCCGTTGCCTTTCTACAATTACATGACACCTTCTTATTTCTTGTTGTCCTATCCATACCACTTCAGGATGTTTGGATCGATTATTTATCTGTCCTGCTTGGGCAAGAAAGGGTTATTGTGACAGCAAGAGGATACTCATGCAGAAACACTGTCCTTCCAGCTGTGACTTCTGTTATGGTAAGTCCTGTTATTCCACAAAACAAAAAAGTAATTGTCCATAGAAAAATCATGAGACCCATCAGATGTAAACAATATAAAGTGTGGCCCTCATTGCAGATTATTCTGGCCAAGAATTGCCTGCTTAGACAGGAAGAGACCATCTGAAATATATGTACAACAAATAACCACAGATCGTTTTGTTGTTGCATGTTGTTTAGGGGCAAGTTTTTTTTTTAGATTATACCACAATAATAGACAGGTATCAAAAATGTATTCAAATAATGGTGCAGAAGTTTCTGCAAAATGTTTGCTGAATGTGGGTCTAAAATTGTATACTAGGCTGAGATGTTTGTTAAAAATATCAAAGATATTTCACACAAGTTAACAAAAGGAACAGTGGTGCGGAACAAGTTATTGTGACCTGCGGTCTAGGTAGGAATCAAACCCTAGCCTTCCAGACAGGGTTTTGCTCAACCGCTGAGCTACTGGGAATGGTAGTAAGTGCACATTAAGTATAAACTGAAAATGCCTTTACTGTTCTGTACTATTCATTCAAAAGATACAAAAAATGGCTTAAAGATTCAACAAAGAATGCTAAACTTTCACAGAAGCTGGTTAACAAACAAGCTAGGCTCAAGACTGAACACCAGCGTATTGAATAGGCTTAACATAAATAGATAAAGAGTGAAAACAATCATTTTGATTGGCAAACTAGAAAAACCCAAGAATATAATGTTATCTAGTAGCAGGACAGGTCAGTTCAGGCAGAAGTCTTATGGGAGCCCCTCTCATAGGAATGGATCCTGATGTTCTTTGAACCACAGTTTGGGTAGCAGCAGTGGAAGAGATACTGGGCTTATCCATCAAGCAGTCGGAAGTCCAGCAGCCAATGAACAGTGTATGTTGGTTGACTGCCGATGATGTGTGGCACATGGGGTAGGGATTGGAGACAGAGGGACAAGACACATGATGTGAGAGATGGGATGAACGCATATTGATCTGGACAGAGTAGTGGCGCAGGACTGAGTGCTGAATAGTCTCTTCCTGTTGCTGTTAAGTGTATCTATATACAGTAGGGCTGTAATTGCACTCCACCAGGCAAGTTGCCACCTCTGGACCAGTTGCGCTGCAGATGGTACAAAGACCTCAGACTCCTGCTCCGGAAATAGGGGGAACACAAACAGGCATTCAAAGGGGTAAATACCCTACAGTGGAACTGAACAAGGTGCTGTGAGTGAACTCTACACAAATCAGACATGAGCTTCAAGAAGTCTGATTGTTACAGGCCAAGCATCTAAGGGTCTTCTACTGGTTAACCCTCTCTGTTTGACCATTAGGTTGAAGGTGACTGTTCAAAATAGGGAAGTTAACTGTGACTCTCTGTCAGAAACCATGCCTGTCTTCATTCTTCATGTGCCAACTCTGAGATAAGAGACAAATCAGCTCCACACCTCGAAGTCTGAGGCATCTACATGCACTATAAAGGGCAACTAAGGATCTGGGAAGGTCAGTATGGGTGTGCAGTTGAGTTCGTGCTTTAGCTGTTTAAATGCCAAGTGAGCCTTCTCAGTCATAGAAGCTGCCTAGAGATCTTCGTAGTTAGATTGGCAAGGGGTTTTGCAATGATGCTACAGAGCAGAGTTGTGGCCGAGGCACTAACCAGCCTGAATGGCATTACTTTTAATTCATAATGGCCAGCAGGAGTGTTGAAGGCAGACTTGTGAAGGCACAAGGAGTTGTAGAGCAGTGGTTCCCAACCCTGGTCC